CTGGGCTGTGGATATCTTTGACTTTTTTATACCAAAAAGGAGAAAATGCATCTATTTTCGTACCTACATGCAACCAGAGACTTTTTAGAAACACACAGAGACAAAAGGTGTTGGAAAGCACCTGGATGCATGTACGCAGAAGCCAATACAGTTATGTTCTTAAGCTATTAATATGTGATGATAAATGCTTTCCTATAAAGTTTACAGTAGAGTGGTGTTAAAGTGCTGCCATGCCTTGTCCTAATTACCCAAAGGCATGTTTTACATTCTCCAGTGGGCTATTTTTTGTTGTTAAATACCAGTAAGTTAAGAGAGAATAATTTCCACATTTTAAGGACCTGTAGTAAATCTTTATTGCCTTACTTCACATGTTTTGTAACAATAAACAACTCTCCGATCTCTGAACCAAAGCTTCCTTCATCTTTTATGTACACTACTGCAAAGGGTACTGCAGGAGCTGATTGACAACCTACTTCCTTTCTTGTGTCCTAGCACCCCAAGCCAAGGCATCTGTTTTCACCAGAATGAACTTTCTAAAATGCAAATGTGATTGTGGTGCTCCCTACCAAAATACATTCAGCTTTTCTGCATCACCTGTAACAAACTTTTCAAGGCAATTTAAAAAATGTGCTTTTAAAAAAATGCTCATTTTTGGGCTTTGCACATGGAGACTCCAATTCAGCAGGGACGAGGTGGTAGAGTGGTACCTAGGCACTCTTAAAAACTTTTACAGGAGATTCTATCACACAGCCAGACTGAGGAAAATTCATCCACAGGATGGAGTTCTAATACCATTACAGGGAAGAGACTATTCAGAAACTGCCACCTGCCTGTCACTCCCAGATCACTTATTAGCTGCAAGACTTTGGCTTAATTATGTAGGTATTTGAGCCTCAGCTGCCTCAGTTTGAATGAGAATGCTAGTACAAATGTTGCAGCACTTTTCTAAGTATTAGATGTAGTATTAGGTCATTTATCATCCAAACTGAGGCACTATTAATAATTACTCCAGGATACTATGATAAACTTGAGCGGTCCCAGACAAACCAGGACACTATAATTTAAGGAGATCTATTCAAAGCATTTTTTACCGTGGATATAACAGAAGCTCAATAAGTCACTTTCATTTTTATCATTCTTCACATTTGCTCCCCTACTTTGCTGGAAGCTGTAGCACACCAAGGTCATGGCACAAGGCACTCAAGTGATGTTTGCGAAATGCTCTAACCAAGATTTTGAATGTTCGTCTGTCACTACCCTTCTCCCCATATACTTGATACTTTCTTCCTTGATGTTTTTGTTTTGTTTTAATTTTTTATTTCTATAGGTTTTAAGGGAACAGGTGGTGTTTGGTTGCATGAATAAGTTCTTTGGTGGTGATTTCTGAGATTTTGGTACACCCATCACCCGGGCAGTATACACTGTGCTCAATCTGTAGTCTTTATCACTCAGCTCCTTCCCACCCTTCTCCTCCAAGTCCCCAAAGTCCATTGTATCATTCTTATGCCTTTGTATCCTCATAGCTTAGCTCCCCCTAAGAGTGAGAACATACGATGTTTAGTTTTCCATTCCTGAGTTTCTTCACTTAGAATAATGGTCTCCAGTTCCATCCAGGTTGCTGCGAATGCCCTTATTTCATTCCTTTCTATGACTGGGTGTTAGTACATGGTATATATACATACCACAATTTCTTTATCCACTTATTGATTGATGGGCATTTGGGTTGGTTCCATATTTTTGCAATTGTGAATTGTGCTGCTATAAACACGTGTGCAAGTATCTTTTTCATATAATGACTTCTTTTCTTCTGGGTAGATACCCAGTAGTCTCCCTTGATATTTTTTATAAGCCTTGATATTCCCCTCCTTTTCTCCTCTACCACTTTAGCTCATCTCTTTGTAGGTCCCAGGACAAGGAATGCAAAGAGGCCCGCTTGTAATTTATTTTTTAAAATTAAAAGCTACATATCAAGCTAAAAAATGGTTAAGTGTCTCCTATTTTGACAGGTTAATCATGACAGGTCCAAAGTTAGATATCCTGGAATGCCTGGAGTTGCACACAGGACTGTGATGAGGGCAGTGCCAATCCTGGGGGCCTACCACCCAGTCCCCTTTCTACTCCTGTCCCTGACTCCATCTGTCTGACAGGAGCATCACACGTAAGGGTGTGGACACACAAACCTGCACATATTCAAGCTTTGTACATCTCCCACTTCTACCTTCCCTAGCAAACAGCTTGAAGGGTGTGTATTATATACCTGTTGCCACTGTAACAAATTACTACAACACCAATGGCTTGAAACAGCACAAATTTATTATTTTTTAGCTTTGGAAATTAGTCTTACAGGACTAAAACCAAGATGTTGGCATTGCTGTTTCCTTCCGGAGGCTCTAGGTGAAAATCCCTTTCCTTGCCTTTCTCAACTTCTAACACTTCTTTCTATGATCATGGTCCCATCCTCCATCTCCAAAGCCAGCAGCGTAGCATCTTCTCTCCTCTTTGCCTTCTGTCTTGCTCTTGTAAAGACCCCAGTGATTACACAGAGCCTGTTTAGATAATCCAGGATAATCTCCTCGTCTCAATTGTTTTTAATTTAATCACATCTACAGAGTCCCTTTTGCCAAATTAGGTAGCATTTACAGGTTCCAGAGATTAGGATGTGGACATATGTGGGGGCCATCATTCTGTCTCCCAAAGGGTGTGCATACCAATGGACACTTGAGAGGATGAACCCAAGGAAGAAGTGTGAGTGAGCATTGGAGCCACACTTGGGAACACCTAGGCAGGGATTCTGGTCATGGAGGAGCTGTAGGGTCATGGTGAGCATGTCCTCTTGGCCCTCAGGATTCTTTGCCCTGCCCAGCCAGAGGGGGTCCCTCTAAAGCTCAGAACCCAGGGCAGGGTCCTTTCTCAGGCAGGGACCTCAGCATAGTACATCTCCTTTCTCCTGCTGATCTGGCAACCTCTGCCTGATTCCCTTTCTCTTGATCTCTCTATAAGACTGTTAGAGAAAAGCATGTTAGCAAATTGTTTTACTGTATCAAAAGTTCTTTTTCTTTTATTTTCATCCCTGCCTTTTGCTTGTCATGAAAGAGCCCCATTCCACACCCACTCATTGTTTTTACCATCCTCACTGGCTTTCCCTTCCTTTGAATCTCTAATTCTATCCTTCCGCCACCTCTTCAGTGTTCTTAAAATACACAAGATTTCACCTGCTTGCTGTGTGTTTTTTTTTTAAATATGCTATCCAGCTAGCAAGTTATTCCTGAATCCTACAACATTGTTAATTCATTCCTCTTATATTTCTTTTTTAGTTCTAAATTTTCCTCCAACATTTGGAGCCTGAAGAGTTTCTTCTATAATCTAATTTAAAATCACTCTACTTGGTCTACTTGTATACTCTCTCTTTATATTTTGCTGGATGTTGGCCATTTTAAATAATGTTTCCACACTTATACTATATATACAGAAGAACTTATATTTCCAAAAAAGTATCTTTAAAAAATGTTTTCTCCCTGTAGTCCCAGCTACTCGGGAGCCTGAGGCAGGAGAATTGCTTGAACCTGGGAGGCAGCGGTTGCAGTGAGCCAAGATTGTGCCACTGCACTCCAAACTGGGCAACAGAGCGAGACTCCATCTCAAAAGAAAAAAAAAGTTTTCTCTTAAGTTTTAAAAAATCTCTGAACTCTGATCTGTGTTTTTACTTATTCTTGTTAATGCATGGAAAGTTTAAGGAATCATCTATGTTTAAGGTCTACATAGTTTGGAGAGCTTATGAATTATTTCACAAGAAGGTTTTGTAGATTTTTTCCTTAATGAGACATTACATATTCCTAAGGCTCTGATGAAAAGAAAATTTGCCCATTTAAATTTGATTTAAAATTCATATTATACAATTTCAGTAATTTTAAAAATCTCTGATTATAATAATGTTATAATATTACTATAGTGTGTGCTCCACTAGGGTGCATGTGTCTGTCTTATTTATCACTGTAGCTCAGCGATAGTCTAGCCACCAGTGGCTGTATTTTAGCAAATAACTGAGAAAGTGAATGTGAGAATGAGTGATAGAATTTCAAAATGGCTTTTAAAAGCAATATAAAGATGTTCCATATAAACCATGCTGCCTCAATCAGAACACTGAAATATAGACTTTTAAATTCTCAATCAAATTTGTAGTCTCTCCTAGACTATTCTGCTGTGAGTAGTAAATTACTTCACTAAGGGTGCTAACTAAACTGTGTATATTCAAGATAACCATGGTCTGTTTAAATAGTTTATGAATGATAAATACAGAAGATATTATATAGATGTTATTTTATAAAGATGCTATAGTGATAATTCTGTATGTTATAGAATTATATAGACACTGAGATACCAAATATGCTAAAGACACTAAGATATCTACTTTTTTTTTTTTTTTTTTTTTTTGAGACAGAGTCTCACTCTGTCACCCAGGCTGGAGTGCAATGGCCGGATCTCGGCTCACTGCAACCTCCGCTTCCCGAATTCAAGTGATTCTCCTGCCTCAGCCTCCCTAGTAGCTGGGATTACAGGCATGTGCCACCATGCCCGGCAAATTTTTGTAGTTTTAGTAGAGATGGGGTTTCATCACTGTCCAGACTGGTCTCAAGCTCCTGACCTCACGATCCACCCGCCTCGGCCTCCCAAAGTTCTAGTATAGGCATGAACCACTGCGCCTGGCCACTAAGTATCTTTAACATAGTGTTAGCAGATGAGAAATGTGACTCTCTGGTACTGAAATGAAGACAGGAAATGAGGGAAACTATCTTCCTTAACTCTTTTTCCTCATTGCTTTAGGAATTGTGTATGGTGCTTGGTTCACTGCAATTTTGTCTAGCTTTATAATGGTAAAAATGTGTATAATTTCTTCAGTATGAAAGTATTTTATATAGCTTCACTAAGTCAAAGGTTTACTTCCTCGTGTTCTCTCTTATACAAATGATTGAAGATGTCTTTTTTTTATTTCTTGTCCTCAGAATGGCTTTACTCCTTTATACATGGCTGCCCAAGAGAATCACATTGATGTTGTGAAATATTTGTTGGAAAATGGAGCTAATCAGAGCACTGCTACAGAGGTAAGACTGTCAGCCCTAAAGTCTTGAATTCTTTGATCCTAATGTCCATATTCTTTATATCAGTCTGCAAATAATCTCCATTACTTTGTCTGAAATATGCTAGGAACGTTCATGTTACTATTATAATCGCAACAGTGGTTATGAACAAATGACTCAGGCTTGTGCACGGAGTTCCATCAGTTTATGCCTTCATTTTGGATTTGTGTCTACTTATTCTTACATAAAATCATGCCTCCATCAGTTTTTCATCCTCTGGCCTTTTGGGAGCTTTGTACCATTCTAAAATTCAATTACAGTAAATTCTACTCATCTCTTTGCACCAATATTTTATCTTTGTTAGGATCTAATATAATTCCTTAATGGAACAACTTTTTTACCATCAGAAATAATTCATAAGTATCTGTGTTAGCACAGTTTCATGAGGAATGTCACTAAAAAACACCCTGTACCTTATTGAAGCACAAATTATGAAACATGGTTATGTGACTGATTATGGCAACAATTGAATAGAATGTTCAAAATCAGTCTAGTTTTAAAGAGTTCCAGGATATCTGGACCCAATAAGTGAGAGTGGACAGGGGCCTTGAGAACATCAGTTTTCTTTCCTAAGCACTTATTATTTCACCTAGTAAGTAGAAACTGCTTTGTATTTTCCTTCTCATTTTTGCTTAGGTAGGCAGATTAAGCAGCAAGTTCAAGGGCTGTCTGGGGCAGTGATTTCAAGTGATGCTCCAGAAGCTCTTGTGCTTCGGGCCACTGAAAGGTTGGGAGTGGGCCACATGCAAGAGGAGAGGAAGAGAGCTCGCCTGAGACATGTCTCTCCTTACCTCTTTCAACCAGAGTATATGGGCTTGGCTTTTCCTATTTCATATTTTGTGGCCCCACTGATAAAATTTCAAAACTCCTGGCCTGAACTGAAAGAAGACTGATGGATTCTTGTTACCCAGAAACTATCTTAAGATAATTTTTAATGTGGCTTCCTTTCTGGACAATTAAGTCTTTAGGACATGAACTCCCTTCTATGCTGCATTAGAAGGAGAGGTTATTAAAATATAATAAATCCTTTTCCAGTCCCTTTGGGAGAAAACTTTTTATGGAGCCAATTGCAACGACTTTCTGACAGCTTATTCTCATTGTTTAAAAAAAAAAAATCCAAGAAAACACTATGAATGAGACCATGTTGCCTACCTATGACTGGAAAACACAACTGCCCAGTATGAAATGTTTTTGAGTTCTGTATTCAATACACACAGATTTTATACTCTTGCCACTTGGATATAGTGTGATTTTTATGATTTGGGACCTTTTCTTTCCTCAGACACTAGTTCTGTCCATGAGTACCATGTGAATATCTTCGGGCAGAGCTCAGGTAACAATATGAGTCTGCATCTTTGCATCTGGGCCTCTGAGAAATATATCAAAATAAGGACATCTATGTTTGTTTTATTTGATTTTGATTTTCTTGAAAGCAGAATCATTTACCAGATGAAACCTTTACTCTAGAGTGCTTCTATTTACCAAATAGACTTAAGGTTTCTAGTGTAGGATTTAGGAAAACTGAGCTTGCTGGCATTCCCAGCTGTCTCATGGCTTCTGGCTCCTTTGGTCTAGACCTCTGTAGCATTTCCCGTTTGATTCCAAAAATACCCTTTTATGTACATTGCATCAGTAGGGGCTATGTTATACTTTGATCCCCAGAAAGTTAAAATCCTCTCTGATTCCACAAGGAAATGTGTCTTTTGCAAATAAATCATGTGAGGTTTTAAATTCTAGCTTAGACACATTATATACCTATTATTTGTTTCATTTTAGAAACTCATTTAAATAGCTAAAATTACTTTTTTCCTATTGAATATATAAGCTTAATTGATTAAACTCTCATTGTCTGCACTAATGGTTATCAAAAAACACACATGGACAAATCTTTACGTATTCCTTTTTAGTGTATCATTCTGTAAAAAAAAAAAATAATAATGTTTTTACAGGGCTGTATGGTTGATTGCCATTTGATATCCTGTGTTATATTGCTAAATACCATCTACAGTCTTATGTGAACATGTGTGAATATACCTAAAGAAGGGACTTGCCCTGAGCTGGTTGGTAGCTAATTTGCAAAAATTAATAACTAATCAAGATATTATGACCACTTTAAAATCAAATAATTGTGAGATTATTCAATGTGGCAATGAAATTCATGACTGAGAAGAAATATTTAAATTTCCCATAATTATGGCACTTAGCATTGGTAAATGAATGATGAAAAATGAAGCTACTGAACTTTCATATGGATTTCCTTTTAGTTGAGGTACTTGAACAAATCATTCCAAATGTTTAGCCTTATCCCATGCAGTATAGATTAGAGTGAAATCTACATGGTGAAGATCCAAGGTTAAATTCTCAGAAGGGAGTTCTCAGTCTCTCCAGTACCATTTTTATACAGTATTTCTCTACTGTCTTCCTTCTTCCTAAATGTTACCAAAATTAAAGGCCAAAAACTTTTTAACGACATTCTGTTCTGTGAGCAAATGCCTCATCTCCAAGAAAAAAATTAATTTCACACTCTTTTAATATAAACTATCACAGTGCTGCAGGAGATAATACATTTAAATATGTATGTGATAATGAGTCTGTGCTTTTCTCATTCACAGAGCATTTAATATGTGCCAAACAAAGTTCTAAATTCAGGCTACTATTTTTCATCTTAAGATACTACATGCTTTACTCTTCCATTCTGTTAATGTGTTATGTTTAAAAATCAGCTATTATTAAAAAATTATTATTGCTGGTACTGCATACATGATACAATACACTTGAGGAAAACTATTTTTTCCTCAAAAGTCTGCAGTGACTTTAAAACAATTATTATTGGAAAAAAATTGAGTAGTTAAATTGTGATAAATTACCATTGTCTCTAGAGTGCAGTCTCGGGTTCAAGCGATTCTCCTGCCTCAACTTCCCAAGTAGCTTGGATTACAGGTGCACACCACCACATCCAGCTAATTTTTTCTTTGGTATTTTTAGAGGAGATAGTTTTTCACCATGTTGGCCAGACTCGTCTCAAACTCCTGTCCTCAGGTGATCTACCCGCCTCGGCCTCCCAAAGTGCTGGCTACAGATGTGAGCCACCCTGCCCGGCCTAGAATGCAGTCTTTCAATTTACCATTCTATTGTCCATATTTTTTTCTCTATGTGAATGGAAACTTCTAACTTTGAGACTTGTTTTCCAACTTTTGTGGATTAAGGGTGTTTTTTTTTTCTTTCACATAAGTAGAGCCTAAAATATATTATTTTTTGATGTACTTGTCACCCTTCCAAGAACTGAATACTTGTTTCTAGAGAGAAAAATATAGCTTTCCAAGTTTTCTAGCATGATTATCTACTACTAAGTTTTCTCTACCTTTTCACTCCCCATGCTACTGGTTTTTTACTGTCTTCTTAAGTTTAGAATTGAAAACAGGTTTTTCTACATTACCTAGCACATGTAATTTTATATCTAAATGGTCAAAATAATATAAAATTCAACTATTAAGGGCATAATTAATAAATTAGCCTAATTTGCCAGAGTTTTAGATCGTATTGTTCCCTAAACTTCCAAAATTGAATTGGTAATAGACAACTCCATCCCTAGGGGCTGTTTTCCTTAACCATTCAGTGATATTTAGTAACCTGCATAGTCAATCATATATTTTATTTCCCTGTCTCAGTTACCATATCTTCGATTCCCAGTCAGACTTGGTCTCCATTCTTTCTACCCTTCCCACTTTTCTGCTTTACCTACAGAGGCATTATTTAGGATTGGTTCTCACTTTTATTTTTCGATTGCAACCATACATTTGAGCACATCCTGTATGTAGTATGTTTGTTAAAGAATGCGGATGTTTTTCAAAATGTATAGAATAGAAATTAGGAAAGCTGTTTGATTAAAGTATTCCATAATATGATGGATAACTGGTTATAATCTGCTTCTAATCTTCCCAGTAATATTTGGTTGTCAATCTTGATCATTAAAGATTAGAGCCATCATTGCTTAGAACTAAATCTCTAGCATCTAAAGATGTTAACGACAATTTTTACCTTCTGTTTTACCAGGATGGCTTTACTCCTCTAGCTGTGGCACTCCAGCAAGGACACAACCAGGCAGTGGCCATCCTCTTGGAAAATGACACCAAAGGGAAAGTGAGACTGCCAGCTCTGCATATTGCCGCTAGGAAAGACGACACCAAATCTGCCGCACTCCTTCTTCAGAATGACCACAATGCTGACGTACAATCCAAGGTAAAAGCTGAACACATTTGTGGAAAGGAACTCTTTGGCTGCCAGACTCCTCCTGGGGGATGATAAAGAAGTAGGCCATGGTGATAATGCAAAATTATTTCTGGTCATAAAAAGATATAAATGACTTTCAGAGGTATTTCAGAAAGAAGGGGACCATCTAAAAAAATTAAATGCAAGATAATTTTCTTTAAAAGACAAGGTTGAGCTTTTTAGAAATCTGCTTTCTTATTCTGTTTTTAGTCACAAATAATAGAATTTAAAAGATAAAATTGTATTGTGTAGTGCTTGGGGATGTCTTCTTTCAGTAGAATGCATTTTGGCATGTTGGAACAGTATACCCAATTGCAGTGAGCATATTGACTGTTACCATAATTTTGCATTGTGTAATATCTTCCCTCTTTCTCCCAAACAACACTGCTTCAGATGATGGTGAATAGGACAACTGAGGTACAGTATTGTGGTTATACCAAAATTTACCTTGTCTTTATTTTTAGTTTTTGCCCAATTAGAATAAATGCTCACTAATTCATACTAATGATTACAAGTTCCATTAATGGGAAATTAATTTGGAAACCTTTCCCATAATGAAGGCAAACTGATAATTCAAAGATATTCAATGTAACATATAATAGAAGCATTATTTTATCAGTAAAACTATTTAAATAGGTTATTAGAGAATGAAATGAAACTCTTTCTTAACGTATATTTTAATGAGTGAACTTTACTATTAACTTATTGTCAAGAAGAGATATGATTTTGTTTCCTTAATGAGAATTCTCAGGTTAGAGTTTTTACGAAGTGAAAATTTGGGAGGTTTCTCTGCCACTGTGTTTTGTCTTTTTATCTAATTGCAGTTGCCCTTTTTTTCCTGTATGCTCTTTTTCTTTACCACATTTTATATAATAAATGATATTATTGAACGTATCAAGAGCAGACCAATTGCTTTTTCTTCTAAGTCTTAAAATACTTGTCATAGAATCGTATATTTTCCACATTCCAAAATAAGTCACTTCAATCAATAAGAACATTAAGTTCAGAAGCCTCTCAGTATGGTGTGTTTGTATATGTATGTATTTGGTAGTCTCTCCTTGGCCATTGCTACAGAGAGACACTAACACAAACATTGTTGATGTATATTACACAAATTAACCTATACTCAAAAACAAGTGACTATTTATGTAGGTCCGTTATTGTTTTGCTGAGGGGATTCTTTAGACTATCATCTCATTTGATGACTAGGTTGTGGACTTATGAGCATTATCACAGAGTATACTTGAATTATTTGTGTTATTTCCTTTGTTCCCTGTCTTTGTATGGAACCTAGGTCAGAGACAACAGAAAGCCCAACTGCTTGGTGAACTTGTTCACAACTAGAACCATATAAATTGATATCTTAATAACTAGTTTCAATACCTTTACTTTCTTAGATGCTTTTTGATGATTATTTAATATACATTTTTGAAAGTGGTATTGGCTCTAAACATTGTGAAAGCAAAAGTTTGGGTGAATTTTTACTGAGTTATAAATATTTCCTTGAAGACAATAGAGTAAAAAGAATAGAAACCCCTTTGTCTAATCCTGTAGAAATGTGAACTCTGCCTCCTGCTTCCATGTTAATCAGGGAAGAGTTCCTCTGAAGGGCTGATACGAGTTTTGTGCTGATCCAAGATTCACAGCCTGGGTATCATTATGAATGATCAGTGAGGCTATATCAGACAATAAGTTAGTTTATTTTTGCAAATGATATTACTATATTTAAAGACTTTGAAAATGATTCAGCCAGCCTCAGTATGTTTTTCTGAAACTAAATTGTGACATCAATAATAGACACACACTCAGGATATGTCTGAGTGACAGGAAATATCATGATAAAAATGAAACGAATTTAGTCAATTATTTCCTAAAATATAAAAATTTGACATTTTATCAAATAACAGCCAGGTTGAGGGCTGATTTCCCCCTCCATTTTGACATGAATATTGGCATGATGTAAATGCAAAATAAAAATATCTTGATCATAGATGTGGGATATTGATTAATAGTTACTGTTCTTATTTTGTGTCTTACTTCTCTCTAAGTGAGAAATTATTTGTAGTTAATGTTGCTACAGTAATAGCACAAATTTTCATTACCTAAGGTATCTGAATGCTTAATTAGGGTGTTTTTAAAACAAAGTCACCAAAGCCTATGTATCAACTCAATAGAAAAAAATGGTTGTAATTTTGAAAATATTTCTTAAAAACAATACAGTAAACAATTCATTTCAACTAAAAGAGAGTGATACCAAGTAACCCAAAATCTGCAGAATGTGATAGCAAATAACAGTTTCTATTTTTCCCATAATCTTTTGTTAAGTAGTGAAACTTATGGAGAGTAAGAAAAATTATCAGATCTTTGTGTACTTTAATAAGAAAAGAGTTAATATGCTTCTATTGTGAAAATGGCAACAATTTTCAACTAGATTTTCATCAGAAAAAGAAAGAAAAGGAAATATATTTTTTTCATTTGATATTTTCAGACTCAGAGAGTAAACAGTTCTGTAATGCCCATTGAGTTGATTTAACCTGGTTGGTTAAACTACATTTTATTGTATTGATAAAATCTGTTTAACATTCAAAATTGGAGTGAGCTGAACTTTTCTCTTCCTTTTTTATTCCTATTTATGCCAAGTATATTGTTTAATTTTTGTTTTTTAATTATTTCATCATGATAACATAATCTTGCTACACAGTTGTAAAAGTGTATAGGAATATCATGACAGTGTAAATGATGTGGAACAAATTCTATATCCCTTGTAAGAATTTTTCAACATACTTTCATGCTTCCAAAATTATAATGCCAACCAATACTGCTTTTTTAAAACAAAAGTAAAACAAAAACACTGGTTTTGAATCTTCTCTGAAACGATATTAACCAAATTCATTGATATGTTAATCCTATGGCTGAAACTTTATGTTGTTTAATCATATTCTGGTTTTCTTTAATATGCAAGACCAATTTAAGAAACATTGTTTTGTATAAACAACAAATCTCATAAATAAATATTTAAGATAATTAAAAATATGCCATGAATATTATGCCAATAAATGTAGAATATTTATTTACTTTTTATATGTTTAGTTATGTACCACCTTATAACGTTAAGATTTAAGATCTTACTAAAGCATTTATTATTGCTTATATGTTAGGTAGACCATTACCATGTGACTTTCTTCACTAATACAATGGCTGCAACATAGTAAAGTGAAGCGCTATACTGACTATCATATCTTTGCTTTCATAGAGTGGTTTTACCCCTTTGCACATAGCTGCACATTATGGAAATGTCAACGTGGCAACTCTTCTTCTAAACCGGGGAGCTGCTGTGGACTTCACAGCCAGGGTATGGATTAAAATAGTTTCTCATTCTAGATAGCAGTAAATAAGTACCTTTAGAAAGTAAAAAGGAACACCAATGGCTGTCTTAAAGATTTTATTTCTTTTTCCTTACCTGGGTCTGTGCTGGAGATATTAGATTTTTCATTTTCTTTCTTTAAATCACAAGAAGTCATCCTGGCTTACGCAGAAAATAAGAATGTTGTAAATTCATGCACAAATCATTTCCAATAGTTAAAGAGGACATTAATTCTGACCAGTATGAACAGTTATATTTAACGATCATGCCGTGAATCCTGATAAGTCATGTCAATAAATAATTAAACTGTTAAAATGTTAACTATAAAATATATAAGTAGAATGTCTTATGATGACTGTGGGGCACACAATTTGATAGGGAATTGTTTTTAATGAATTGAGAATTTGTTCCCATGAAGTCTTACTAAAATACATAAAAGGTGTCACATTGTTACATCTTTCATGGTATGCTTTTATTAGAAAGAATTCACTTACATAATAGTGGTATATATCAGTATACTTAATATACAGTTAATGCAGAATATGAATATTCAAAAATTACAACACAAAAAAAATCAGGTACATATCCTTGCCATAATGATGACAAGTGATAGCCAATAAAATAAATAAATATAATTTGTATGTGTAATGTTTTTGTACTAAGAAGTCATGTGCAGTGAAACTATGTTCTGTGATTTTCAAGCTGTTTTTCTTACTGAATTATTCTGAAGGAGATGTTTGTTTGTTGTTGTTGCTGTTTAGAGACAGGGTCTGGATCTGTTGCCCAGGGTGTAGTGCAGGGGCACGATCATGGCTCACTGAAGCCCTGAATTCGTGGGCTCAAGCAATCCTCCTGACTCAGCCTCCTGAGTAGCTAGGACTATAGGCACACACTACCATGCCTGGCCAATTTTTTAAAATTTTTTGTGGTGATGAGGTCTTACTATGTAGCCCAGGCTGGTCTTGAACTCCTGGCTTCAAGGAATCCTCCCACCTCAACTTCTCAAAGTGCTGGAATTACAGGCATGAGCCACCATGCCCAACTTGAAGGAAATGTTTTTAAGAATCATTTTTATATTGAATATTAATAAAAATATTTGTATTCTATTTTTAAGCATCATAAAACTTAAGATTCCAGACTCTTTAAGTGCATGGATGTTATAGAAAGAAAGACTTTACACTAGGGCCCTATCTTAGGTAGATTTTAAATTTTTGTTCATATTACACTAAAGTGGTCCCTTTGTCTCTTGACTGTAACTTGTACATTCTATACATATTTTGTAGTTATTGACTAACTTAGTTATGCAGTTTCATTCCGTTTTTCATTCTCTAACTATATTGTTTTGTGGTTTGTGTGATTTTTGTTCCTTAAAAATCAAAGACATAGAAAGAGTAGAAATTGTGGATCAAATTACCACATAGGTCACAACCTCCTTTGTGGCCTTTAACACAAAGGCATCGCTATCATGCCCTGTCATACCCAACAGCTCTTGTTTGGTCTTTCTGTGGTATAGAATGGAATCACTCCTCTGCATGTGGCTTCCAAAAGGGGAAATACAAACATGGTGAAACTCTTACTGGATCGAGGCGGTCAGATCGATGCCAAAACTAGGGTGAGTGTCTCTGTTCTTTCAATTTTCTACTATTATTATTTCTTTCAATCCTCATAGAAGGCACCTCGAGACACCAGGTCATTAACATAGGCAATGTGTTTTCAAGGAAATTGCTTTACTGGAATTGATTTAAATCTCATACAACATTTAAAGGGTTCATACCATAAAGTGAAATTAATATTTGCTCATAAGTGCCCAGAGAAGCGAAATGTTGGTCCCTCAATGAGATAGTTTTGAAGTTTTTGCTTAGTGATTTTCTGGGACCAAAGATCAAAGATTAGTTTTACACAACTCTCTTTTGGGTAGTTATAAGTATCAAGAACCTGAACTAATTACCATACACTGAGATTGAGAATGTGGCTTTTACACAAAATATTTTAGTACATGTTTACAATCTTTGGCTTCTAAGTATTCAAATCCTAATTCTTTTTTCTTAAGCGGCTATGCTATCCTGACCTGAGCAGGGGATTTGCTATTATGGAGAAAAGCATACAGTTAGTATACTGTACCTTTATTTATGTCATTTTGGTAGAAGTGCTATCCTTAATTTGTTTTGAACTTAGGTAAAATATCATTTCAAGTTTGCAATACACTCTAAATAGATAACACGATAGACAGTAGAGTGCAGTTGTTAAAAGTACAGAATGAAGGCAAACTACCTGATTTCAAATCCTAGTTTTACTATTAATAAGTTGTATTATATTGGCAGTTTACTTACCTTCTCTGAACTTAGGCTAATAACAACACACCTACTTCATAAAGTTGTGTGAGAATGAACTCTTAGCTACATTTACCGTTTTTGAAAAGGCAGAGTAAGTTACCTAGCTCTTCATAATATTTGATAATATTACTGACGTTATACAGTATGTAGTTACTTGCTTTAACATGTAAGGAGTATTTCAGTATTAATTATCTGGAGTAGATTTGTTAATCATAGACTTCGGCAAAACTTCAAATGTGCCTATAATACAAAAATGTTAATATGTAGTATAAAAAAATCTATGTTAATATGTGGTGTAAAAAGCCTATGAAAGATGATAAATAGAATATGTCCCATAGTATTGAACTTCACTTTGTTTAATGCTGAGACTTCATGTTTTCATAGTGCCAGCAGTAAGGATCAAATCTAGTTTCCTTGCAAATCTGGGGGCCAGCAAACACTTTTGTTTAATAAACTTCATCATCTGTAAGCTTCCAGAATCTATACCAGTCCCAGACTATAAATTATGATTTTTAATGACCTCAGGAAACCTTGCTTTTTTAATCTCACTTCTCTAAAGCTTTTGGTCCAGAGTGGCTACGTCACAACACATGGGAGTTCTGACGAGGTTTGCGTTCTGTCAAATCTTTGCTGTGGTGTCCAGTGTCTTTGCATCAGAGTTTTATGTGGTTTCTCCTTTTTGCTTAGTAGGCATGCCTTTTTCCCTTAGCATACTGTGAGTATACAGAATTTGGAACAGTATGAGTTACGTTGCATGGTTTGCTTACTTGTTCTTTATATTTAAAGGAATGAGCTTTTGCACATTACTACATTACTAACATAATTCCTAACATTACCAATGCATTACATTACAAGCATACTTTACTAACATAATTTCTTCCTATATACTGCCTTTATGAGATTACCACTGGAAAGAAAGCATTTTGGGAATGCAAAAAATTTTTATCTTGGCCAATGTCTTAGGGATGCACATTGCTTTTATTAATGCTTTTTGGAGTATTCACTCATTATTGAGATAGTTGATTTTGTTCTTATTAATCAACAATATTTACTTAATAAAAGTACTCAAATAAAAAATATGTGTGGCTTACATATATTTGGGTATACAATTAAAAATTCTAACTCCAAATAGGCAGTGTATCTTCATAAAAATAGTACTAAGAAATGAAATGAAATGAATTCTTATACTAGTTCTGTCATAGTGCAGCCTTTAGATACAGCAAATAAATTAAATTTCATTCAAGGATTTAAAAAGAATAAAATAGGTTTTCTAATTGTATACATTGTATAAACATTCCATTCATTTATTCCTTAAACAAATAACTATTGAGTTCCTACTTGGTGTTGTGAACCCTGAAGATACAACAGTTAACAAGACAGAGTAGGTTTCTAGACTCACAGAGATGCAAGTCAACAGTTCAAGGAATTAAGTTAGCAGTCTTCTTGTAAAAGTTTAATAATAGGTTCTTTAAATACAAAACAAAACAAAACAAAACAAAAACTTTGATTTGTAGCATTGCCTTTGCTAGTTTCCATGGTATAAATACTTCTACAGTGGTCAGTTTAGAGCTAGCAACATGGTATCACTAAATGTAGAACTGGGAAGAGGTGTGCAAAAAGTAGCTCTCCTTATTTCATATGAACTGGTTCCAGCACACCCCAGGATTAGCTACAATATTGAATGGTTGCACTGAACTTTATTATTATTATTATACTTTAGGTTCTAGGGTGCATATGCAGAACATACAGGTTTGTTACATAGGTATTCATGTGCCATGGTGGTTTGCTGCACCCATCAACCCGTCATCTACAATAGGTATTTTTCCTAATGCTATCCCTCTCCTACCCCCATCCCCCAACAGCCCCCGGTGTGTGATGTTCCCCTCCCTGTGTCCATGTGTTCTCATTGTTCAACTCCCACTTATGATCGAGAACATGTGGTGTTTGGTTTTCTGTTCTTGTGTTAGTTTGCTGGGAATGATGGTTTCCAGCTTCATCCATGTCCCTGCAAAGGACATGAACTCATCCTTTTTTTATGGCTGCATAGTATTCCATGGTGTATATGTGCCACATTTTCTTTATCCAGTCTATCATTGCTGGGCATTTGACTTGGTTCCAAGTTTTTGCTATTGTGAATAGGGTTGCACTGAAATTTTTTAGCACTAAACTTTCCCCCCATAAGTTGAAATACGTCTTCATCTGTAAGTAGGAGGATTTTAAAAGCATTGCTGGGTTCTTTTCATTCTGGCTACAGCTAACAGACCTATATCCCTCTTATCAGAGGCAAAATCAAGTAGGAGGTAAATACTGAAATCAAGGACTGTGTGCTGGAACTGGGAGGCCAATTCTGGAACTATAATATTTGATTACCAAAATAAATGAATATGTTTTGCTTTTTCTTTTGCCTTTTGAAAAGTATTTAAAAATGGAAAAAATATTTGTATTAGTTAGTTCTCATGCTGCTATGAAGAACTGCCCGAGACTGGGTAATTCACAAAGGAAAGAAATTTAATTGACTCACAGTTCTGCAGGACCGGGGAGGCCTCAGGAAACTTACAATCATGGTGGAAGCTGAAACAAACACATCCTTCTTCACATGGTGGCAGGAGAGAGAAATAAGTGCCCAGTGAAGGGGGCAGCCCCTTATAAAACCATCAGTTCTCATGAGAACTAACTCACTGTCACAAGAATAGCATGAGGGCAACCATCCCATTATTCAATTACCTCCCATTGGGTCCCTCCTATGACACATAGGGATTATGGGAAATAGAATTCAAGATGAGAGGTGGTGACGCCTAAATCAAAGCATTGATAAACTATATCAATGTTTAATTTGGTTTTGACTATATTTTTAGATAATATAAGAAAACTTCTATATATGGTTTTTTTTTTTTTTTTGAGACGGAGTTTTCTCTCTTGTTGCCCGGGCTGGAATGCAGTGGTGCAATCTCGGCCCACCGCAACCCCCACCTCCCTGGTTCAAGCAATTATCCTACCTCAGCCTCCCGAGTAGCTGGGATTACAGGCATTTGCCTGGTTAATTTTGTATTTTTAATAGAGACAGGATTTCTCCATGTTGGTCAGGCTGGTCTCGAACTCTGACCTTAGGTGATCTGCCCGCCTCGGCCTCCCAAAGTGCTGGGATTACAGGTGTGAGCCACCGCGCCTGGCTGGAATGTTTTTAAAGTATTATGTTTTCTTTTATTTTTGTTTTTGTTTCTTTTTGTCATTGACATCTCAATTTCCCCCAGCATTTAAATTAACCACAAATGTTCTGAATTTAGTATATTCTGTCAAGGATCTTACCTTGGTCTTCTCATTATTTTTCTCATTCATAAGGTTTTTATTATCTAGAGAATAGCAAGATCTATAGAGGCTTTCAGATAATTAAAAAACAAATATTACCCACAGTTACTTCTTGGCTTTCACCACCATTTTGGCAATCATTGAGACATTTTCCATATTGTTGGCATTCTCATCATTGACTACTATCTAATGTGAAACTCTAAGACATTTGCACCAGAGCCTTTTGCTGGTATCTGAAATACCTCATTTCAATGTGAAAATATAAATTTTATAGCTAGTTAAAATGAAATTATAAATTTAGGCTTTATTAAGGCATTATTCTTTTTTTGTTGTTTTTAAGCTTCTTTATTATTTAAATGTGGTGATACCCCATATAAGGATTATGTTTAAAATATTAAAAAACATATTTCAATACAAACAATAAAAAGTGTACAAAAACATTAAAGGATGATGAACAAAAAATATATAGGGAAAAGGAAACACCCTTCTTACTTGTTATTAGGTGTAATAATTAAAGCAATAACAATAATGGCTATCAATTGTCATATAAATGTGTTGTTCTAGGCACCCTGCTAAGTATTCTACAAATATCATCTTATTTTATCTTCCTAACAACTTATAAAGTATGTATTATTTTATTGTTGAGAATATATGGAGGTCTTCATTTGAGAAATGAGACTACCAAAGGGAAAAATGCGTTTCAGCAGAATTATGTAACTTGACCTAGGACACACAGCTTGGTAATCAGCAGAGCCTACCCATGTGAATACACAAACTTTAGGACACATTGTTGAAACAATGACCTAAGCAGAAAGGGGGGGAAATATGAAAAGATAAAGAAACTACATAAGTGGCATCCCTCCAGTGTTGATTGATCTACCTTTATCAAAATTATTCACATCATGGTGGATAGTACATCAGTGTGATGAATTGATTCTAGAGAAAAAAAAAACAACAGAGAAAACACAAGGGGTCTCTGGAAGGGGAAAAACCCATAACCTGCAACTACAAAGTTAAGAATTTAAGTAAAAGGGTTTTAGAATACAAAAGCTTGAAAGTAATTTTTTTGTGGCATTAACTTGATAATGTGCTTTGTAGAAAATATTCAATATCTAATCAAATTGAGCCTGTTGGGTAACTTGAATTTGATGTCATCATTCACACATCTTATAAGGACAGACACCTTGCATCATTAAATGTAGGATTTAGAACTAATTTAATCCTCATTTTTCCTTGATGTTCTTGTGGGTATATTAAATGTGCTCCGTAAAGCTCCTGTTGTTACTCTGAGAGTATTTGAGAGGTTTCAACATGATTATACAAAGACTATTTCATGTAATTTGCAGAAAGCAATATGCTGCCTTTTCTAAAAAAGATGTAAGGTGGCATTCCCTCCTTCATCTTTCAAACAAGGCTTGCAAGTTAAATAGGGTGAGAAACATCATCTCCACTCTATGTATCAGGAAGCTGAGCTTAGAGAGATTCACCCATGGTGGCCGATTTGAGATTCGCTGCAGGGTTCCACAGTTCCGAAGTCCACACAGTGAACTGTTACATATGATGCCTCTATTCACCATGTGGGATTTCTCAAACCCTAGGTCTCCACAAAGCTTCTCCAAGAATACATTTGAGAAACTATGCTATATCTAATTGTTAGGTAAGTTATGTAGCAACTAATGCTCTGTAGTTCCACCACAGGGTGCTTTTTTCAGGATACAAAAGTGTAATCATTGTCATCACTTTGCCGGAACAACTCTTTTAGGCTCCTATCTGGCAAATTTTACAATAATGTAGCATTTCACCTACAGTAGTTAAATACTTTTTTAAATTTTTTCTGAGAAGGCAGTCTTTTCATGCTAATTCTTAGGTACCCAAAACTGCAAAATCTGTTTTGGTCATTCAATATCTTCATACTAGCTAAATGGATTTCACAAAGCAAAGAATCATTATCAGTCAAGATTCTAGCCATAAACAGAGGCCCAAATTTGATCATTTGATTAGAGATTATTGAAGGGTCTATTTATAATATTGTGTAGTCTGTAGGAAAGGGACAAGGGATGGTGTAGAATCCCAGGGACTAGTAATAGCGGTACTCAATACCAATGCTAGACCTAAAAAGTGAGAAGTACAGGAGGCCCCCAGAACTTCAAAGGAGAGAATTGTGTGGAAAGGCTGCTTTGGCAGGAAGGTCAACTTTGGTAAAGACACACAGCCAAATTTGGGAGGTCTCTCGAAGTCCCTTTCATGTCTTGCTGCATTGGCCAAACCCAGTTGGAAGCCAGAGGACAAGACAGCTCGCTGATGCCCCTTGGAACGGCCAGTGTGTTGGGACACAGAGCAGAGCAGAGAAGGGTAGAGCTGGGTCTGGAGGGACAAACAGAAGACATCTTGCACAGAAATCCCAGCGTCGAGTCAGAAAGAATGTTGCAATTCAGAGGAATTATTTTTATTTGGAGTAAAGCATAACCTGGAGAGATGGTCCTGAAAGTAGAGACACAAACAAGAGGCCATTCGAGTTCTGGATAAATTAGAAACTGCTGAAATCCTCTTAACTGCTCATCATCCATTCTCTATGATTTACCCACCTTTTCCACCTCTGTCCTTGGGACAATCTTTTTTTTTTCCTTCAGCCTCAAATCACCAGTAAATTTACATACTCAGTATTTCATTTTCTCTCTCGCTTCTTGCCCACCGTTAATTACATTTTGCCTCACATTTCCCACCCGCTCTGCTTTTTGGCCATGCCACCCTAAAGAGAAATAAAATATAAAAGACAGAAGGCATTGGGGATTGCTCTGGAATCAGAGGCTATCCCAGAAGTGTTAAGATCAGAAAGTTTTATAAATAAGATAGCATACAGTTCTGCCATATTTTATTTGATTAAGTTAGAGTTCTATTTATTAATAATAAAGCTCATCTTTGGGAAGCAATTATGTGATTTCCAAAATGTTGAAATATATGTGTGAAAATCTTTAAAATAGTCTAAAAAATGACCTTTCACTTTTACAAGCATTAGGGAGCATTTTAGGAGAACTTATGTAAGTGGTGACAATTCAAAAGAGAACATATATGAAAAAATTACACTAAGAAAAATTTTTAGGTAAAAGTATATTAGAACAAACAAAATGAAAACAGTATAACCTAATATAATCCCTATTTTCGGTTCCAGTGAGTAGGGTTTTAAAGTTCAACGAATGCCACATACTGTGCTTTTCCATCTTCTTGATTACGCAAACACATGACCAGAAGCCAGTTTCATTGCATTGACCCTCCGTCCACACAGGGGATCTCTCTTGCTTTCTCCCTGTCTCTGTTTTGTCGTTTCCTTTCTCTCTCTTGTTCACTGTCAAGATGTCTTTCTGACTTGTTTTCTCTGTCACTCATCTTCTTTCTGGTCATTTAACAAATTGCAGTTCTATTACAGATTTATTGAGTGATCAGGATTGAGTTTAGGAACTCCCTCTTTATGGTTGCAATAGATGAAATTTGGATTTTTTTTTAAAGTGAACTTGGGCCTAATTCTTCAATTCTTTTGGCAGGATGGGTTGACACCACTTCACTGTGCTGCACGAAGTGGGCATGACCAAGTGGTGGAACTTCTGTTGGAACGGGGTGCTCCCTTGCTGGCAAGGACTAAGGTGAGTCATTATGAGTAAGATGGGATCCTAAGGAATCTTTAAGTCACTTGATATATTATCTCTATTCTTTTTTAAATCAAAGCATCAGCCAAGCATTTTCTAGTTCTTTAATAATTGTGTGCTAGGAATAGGAACATGTATCAAACCACTTAAAAATATTAAAATAAACAGATATATGCATTAAGATGTATTGAATGTGTACCTTCAAGTTTTTTTCTATATTTTTATCTGTTATTCTTACTGCAGATGGAATTCTGAATACATCTGTATTTTAAATATAAATGAGAATATCTCTTAGATTCTGAGTCTAGATTTTTATAATCCTCTCAGATGACTATGAAATATATATAAAATTATCTTTTAAAGCAGCACAATTAGCAACACAAGATGAATCTTTTTGCTCATCCATTCTTTATCTCTTAGGTAATACTAATAAAAAATAATTACTCAACAGTGGTATTGATTGATTATGTTGAAGATTAGTAGAGGTGATTTGGAAAGCACAAGTTGCAATAGGCCACCTACAAAGAACTATTAAACAAGCATATTTTCTTTATGACATACTACATCTAGCACTTTTTATTCTCATTTTATCAATATGCTCAAATGTGGGAGAAGCACTTTTCCATATACATGAACGCCACACTGTGAGTTGGTTTGCTGAAGATTTTTCAATTTCAAATGTATTTTAAGTGCTTTTATTATTGTATAGTTCTCTGTTATCCAACCCTACATTGGGTTATCAGAAAATATTTTGAGACACGAATTGAAGATATTCATGCAGAACTGATTAATGTGATATGCAGCAACCTTGGATCCTTAAATACAACACAAATTTAGACAAAGAGCACTTCTTATATTTTCTCCCTATTCCATTCCACCTCATACCCCCCACCACAGAGTTGGTATCAACTAATGCTATTACTAGGGTAAGCTGAAGAAACTAAGGCAATTGACACAAACAAATATTTTTCAATTTATATATAATTGAAATCATTTGAAACAAAACTAGCCCATATGTTTAAGACATGTGTAGAATGAACTCAGTTTGTAAAGATGTGCCCACATGCCATAAAAGAGTGGCTTCAAATCAGTAATATATGAAGAAGAGAAATAATTATCGCATTATTTTTATTCTCACACCTATACTGTGAATGTTGTATAGATCTGTCTTTAAAATGCAGCAATTTGGGCTGGGTAATGCAGAGACAATTATGGAAAGTTTTGATAAAGAAACATTGAAATTTAAATGGAAATAACAAAATTTCAGACCAATCATGTTACAACCAATACAAAAACCAATATCAAGTTGAAAATAGGCAGATAGGCTTTACAAACCATAAAATAATCTTATCTGCAAAGTTTGCTTGTAATTGTCATATCACTGATGAAGATGGTGGGTTACCTAGATGGAATTTTTTAATGTCCTTCCTGTAAAATCAAGTATCATTCAGATGTAAGGATCCTGCATAAAGTGTCTCTGAGTGTACAATTATATTCATGTATTTATGCATCCAAGTATTATATAATACTGAGTAGATACAATTTGCCAGGCAAGTGTTCTGGTCACTAAGGCACCATCAAGATGAATAATACACAATCTATAGCTGCAAGAAGCTCAGAATTTAGCGGGCATGAGAGAAAAAAAAAAGATAATTATAAAAAAATAGAGATATGTATAGGGTAAAAAACACAGAGAAGATGAATTAATCAGGTTAGAGTGAGGGGATACTGCTCTCCTGGGAATAGCACAGGTGCTTAATGCTAGACTATTCTTCCTCCCCTTCTGTATTAGTCCATTTCATGCTACTGCTAAAGACATACTTGAGACTAGGCAATTTACAAAGAAGTTTAATGGACTCACAATTCCACTTGGGGAGGAACTCACAATCATGAGGCTGGGAGGCTTCACAACCATGGCGGAAGGTGAAAGGCACATCTCACATGGTGGCAGACAAGAGAAGAAAATGAGAACCAAGTGAAAGGGCTTTCCCCTTATAAAACCATCAGATCTTGTGAGACTTCTTCACTACCACGAGAATAGTATGGGGGAAAGCTCCCCCATGATTCAATTGTCTCCCACTGGGTCCCTCTCACAACACAAGGGAATTATGGGAGCTACAATTCAAGATGACATTTGGGTGGGGACACAGCCAAACCATATTACCTTCCATAAAAACTCCTAGGTTTAAATCACCCATTCTTTCTTCTGAAGCAACTATCTAAGTGTCACCCCACTCATTCCTTGTCAATTCTAGCTCTCAGCAAACTGTGACTCCTCACCACAACCCCTTCTTATTCTTGGTGACTTGACTGATTTTGATTAGAGCAGTGGATAATTCTTTAAGTTGGCCTCTCAGTTTGGTAACTGTAAACCTTCTACAATTTCTGTGTCTAACTTCCCTCTTGCCAGCCCCTCCTGTGTTTCAGCTCACTCTCTTCAGAACCCCAATTCCGAAATTCTTTTATTCTGCTGGGACTTTCAGTCATAGTTTCACTCTTCCTCATTCACATCATGCCCTTACCTCTGCCAGGCACAAATTTCATAGTCATTTATGCTACGCTCTTACATATTCATACTACCTACATTTCACTCAATTAAATTCAACTCATATTCATGCAACCAAATGTGGCTACAGGAAACGCCCAGCCACACTAACTGTGCTCACTTTACATTCATGATTACTAACCTCAAGTGCGCTGGTAATGCTGCCTGACAATCACGCTCTGTTTTTTAAGTCTATTCACTGTCAATCCCTGCTATCTGACCATTCTATATTTTCTTCAGAATTCTTAGACTTCTTTCCTTGTCTTCATTTCCCACAACACTGAGAGAATTGAAGCAATTGGAAGATAATTTCCAAACACTCTCACCTCCATATCTATCCAGTGACATGACTTGGAACCCATGTAGTCTACGTTCTCTCCTGTTACTATCATATGGTGTGATTGCTTGGTTCTGTCTTCTCAAAACACTTTCTTTATTTGCCTTCTGGGACATTACATTCTTCTGACTTTCCTTCTGTTTTCCTAGCTGCCACTTCTCAGTCTCCTTTGCTAGTTCCTCCTCATCTCTCAGGTCTCTGAACGTTAGAACCTCCAGAGCTCAGTCTTTGTATCTTTTCTCTATTGGCACTCACTTACTATGAAATCTCATGCAGTTCTATCTTTAAATAGTACCTGTATGCTGGTGCCACGAGTGTGTATCTTCAGAATTCCATATGTAGATGTCAGCTCACCATTGCCACTTGGATGTCTCCTGGGCATCTCAAATTTAGTAAGCTCAAAATTACCCACCCCTCAACCTAATCTTCCTGTTAGCTTTCTTATCTCAACAAATGGCCGTCTCATTTTTTCAGTTTCTCAGGTCTCAGGCCAAATACCTCATGCCATGTTGGACTCTTCTTTTTCTCATTTTCCACATTCTGTCACCAAACACTGTCACCTCTTCCTTCAAAATGTGTCACTAAGTCAGCAGCTTGCCAGCAATCTCATTACCAACACTCTGTTCCAAGTCACCATCAACCCTACCTGGAGGACTGTAAGAGGTCCCTAATTGACTTCCCTTCTTTTGTGTTTTGTCCATGTAGTCTATTCTCAGCACAGCAGCAAGAGTAATGTTGCCCTAAACCTTCCAACAGCACCCCATGTCTCTCTGAGTAAAAGTCACTTACCTCTTTGAATTCCTCCCCTTATCCATCCTCCTCATTCACTCGCCTTAAACCACATTCTTCTCCTTAGTGATTATTGATATCAATCATGCCAGTTATAATCCCAATGCAATATGTTTGCAGTTGCCTTTTCTCAGTCTCAAGTGTTTTTCCCCCAAGTCAACAAAACTAGCTCTCTTACTTCCTTCATATCAAAACTCACCTTCTCAGTGAGGCCATTTCTGGACATCCTAACAAAATTGCACTCATGTACACAAACTCCCTAGGCCATTCTGTGTTTTTGTTTTCTCCTTTCCATTGATGGCCATCCAACATACTATATACTTTAATTCTTATTATTTTGAAATTGTATGTCTGGCTTCCACACTAGAATGTAACCTTGTTGAAGACAGGGGTTTCCTGTCTGTTGTGTTCCCTGCTGTATCCACAGTACTTGAGCAGGGCTTGAGTAGGTGCTAAGTAAATATGTGTAAAATGAACAAAAGATTAGATTATAAATATTTTGTTTTCCATATAAATAACTTTCAAATAGGTAAAACAGCATCAATGAATGGCAATTTTTCAAAAAAAACATGCAACAATCTAGTCCAAACTTCATCAAGGCTTGAATTTCTTCTACACTTTGCCCTTGACAGTTATCTTCCCCTCAATGCATAAATGGCTTTTCATCAACCTGTTCCTCTTTTTCTAAACTTATTTAATGAATTTCTAAATATGAAAGCATAATTATGAATGAAGATTATTTCAAAATATATGAATAATTTGTTGGTCACATATACTTTACCACAATTAAGAATTAATTTTTTTTTTTTTTTTTTGTCCCTCACTGTTGAAATCACCTTCCTTGTTGAGAATATTGGGCAGGGGGCCTTTTCTGGTAACTTATCCAGATACAGTTTCTGCTTTGTTGAATGTAATTACTGCCAAACTGGATACCTGGCCAACAATCCTTTTTCTAGTGGTCATATTTGCATTGGTTATTAAGAAAAGACAATAGTCCCATCTCTTTAATAGGCAAATTGTTTTTTAAAATTTAGTTTTTTCCTAAGTTTACATACTGTTTCCTGAAAGTTTATTTATTTAGCTTTAAAGAAATGAGAGTCTTACTGAGTCTGATAAACAGTGCTTTACGCTGCTTTCTTGTGTTCCTGCTGTTGACGTTATTCTAGAATTAAGACTAAAGCTGTTTTGGTCCATATTAATGAAGACAAATTTAGATTACCCTCAAATGTAAAAGTTGTGAGGTCATTGGCACATGGCCCACATTTGTCTCACACTCTTCTAGCTCTTACCGGCCTGTTTTCTCCAAGTCCAATTCAAGTCTCCTGATACTATAGGAAAAAGGGATCGTAAAATTTCAGAGCAACATGGATCTAAAAGATGATCAAAGTTTCCATACCTCCCTGACGTCTTGTAAATGAACTTGCTTCTCATTCACCCACTTCCCTCTGTATTTATAAGAAATGCAGGCAGAGAGATTAAATGAATGCAGACTGCTATGCATGGAGTTGGATATCAAGTTAAGCATTAGCTCTTATTTATTTTTCTGTATTTAATATTGTCCTAATAACTGTAAAATCAGGCTAAATTGCCACTAAATTGCCACACATACCATTCATGACAGACATACTAATTTGCGTTTTTGTCTATGGTAGTATAAGTATGAAATTAAATGTTATCTTAGTGCCCATCTCTACCAAATATAGTCTGCTGTATATTCTGATGTCAAATGGAAATTATTTTTTCCCCTGCCACTAACTGTGTTAGAAATCAAGAATCAACTTTGCTATATTTTGGAACCTGAAAATAATGAAAAAAAAAATTGACATTATTTTGTTTTCTCTTAATGTGCAGAATGGGCTGTCTCCACTACACATGGCTGCCCAGGGAGACCACGTGGAATGTGTGAAGCACCTGTTACAGCACAAGGCTCCTGTTGATGATGTCACCCTAGACTACCTGACAGCCCTCCACGTTGCTGCGCACTGTGGCCACTACCGCGTAACCAAACTCCTTTTGGACAAGAGAGCCAATCCGAATGCCAGAGCCCTGGTAAACTTGGCCCAGTCCACATTAACTGAATACAGATTGAGACAAACAAACCCACATTCATTGACCAACGTGCATACACCAGCAATGCATGGTTACAGATATGTAGTTAATGCTGGTAAATCTGTCACCCTTCACAATCGGCCTGTCTACTTCATACCTTTATAGTTTGCTAGCAAATGCTGGTGAGCAAAGATGTATTTAAGAGAACACCAGTGTAACATTTCTGAAACTAGTGAGTTGCAAACAGATAGATATGAAACCTTTGGAGTGATAAGCAGTTTTAAATGGAAAATAGAAGTTGAAAAATAGAAAATTACAAAATAAATTCTAGATACCTCTAGATAAAGTTAGGACACAAGGGTGAAAAGTTGAATTTATTAATCTCTTTTTGGAAAAAAATTAATGGTGAATATATTTGACTATGTAAGAGGGTTTAAAATGTAAGCCTATGAAGAGTTCACTTGAAAATTTTCCTTGTTGACTTGATTACTCAACCATAGGCTAATAGAAACATTATGCCTGGTGTGTTATTGCTTCAGGGAGCATTTTATATACACCATTTCAGGAATTGCTGGAGAGAAAACTGCAAGAGGCTGTCCCTAGAGCAATTTTATGTCTCCCCAGTTTTAATATTGAATAAATCTTTCTTGCTTCACTTATTTTCTAACAAGAATCATTGGAAGTATTAGACATGTACTAATTTATGCCTCTTTTTTCCTAATTCTCAAACTAAAAGTAAATCCTTTTTTCTATGTGTTTACATGGTTTGTGTCTGTGAAAATTGGTCTTCAGACAATCGGTATTTAAGCTGAGAGACCTTCATTAGAATCATCAAATATTAAATATGATTTTTATGAGAATTTCTCCATTGGAATCAATTTATGGATAATTCCATGGGAATTGAATATATTTTCCAGATTATATGTAATTATGTGAAAACATTAATTTTCTCTAGGGAGTCAAAAACATTAATTTTTTAATTGGATAGTGGTCAATAAGCTTATAAAATATCACAGCCTGTTAATTGCAAATATTTTAAGTGCTGCATGTGCATGTGGCTATTTACATCTGGCATGTTGTATAGCTCATAAACAGGGGAAATGACTTAACCGATTAATTATGTTTGTCACTCTATTGTGAAAAATAAGAAGTCATCAGCTTAAGTAAGACCATATGCTTTCCTGAAAACTGCTAGTGTGTAAAAACGTTGACTGATGATTGGTCCATGTTGGGACATGCAAAAATGTTAGCTGTCAGAATAGAAGTAACAAAGGAACACTGTTGAAATTAAAAAAATATAATACACGATGAGTAAGCATGGGGCCATTTAACACATTTTACTTGATGTGCCCCAATTCCTGGGCATTAGCCTAGTTCACCAAGTTATCAAGTACCTGACAGGCTTCTTCCCCATGTTTCTTTACTCCTAGAGCTACCTCATTGCATTTATCCCAGAAATTCTCCATACATTTCTTGAAAATATCCAGGAACTTAACAGTCATTTCTTTATGCAATAAAAGTTATCTGATAGGCATATATGTTGTAAAAATGATGTAAAAATATAGCTTCTATATGTAAAACTGATCAACATAATGATTTCTGCTGACTTGAAATACACCCTTTATAAAGAAAGTGGTAGCAAAGTTGAAATATTTCCTAGAAAGGCAGCATATTCTTAGATTTTTTAAGTAGATGAATAATTCTTATGCTCTGAGAAATGACCCTTCAGAAGAATATATGCTTATCTTCAATTCATCTTCAAGTCATTTACAAACCAGGACAATCAATATACCTTAAAACATCTTAGAACTTCTAAAATATAATTGCTTGTCTATTTGTCTTTCTTTAAAGGGAAGGACCATGTATTTATCTTCACTTTTGTTTTCTCTATAAACACACAAACAGAATTATGTACAGGCCCACCACACATAAGTGAAGTTCAGTGTCTACAGGAACACATCACCATTTTTCTTTCCAAATTCCAACACCTACAGGGAATGAAGAAATGGTAACATTATGTGATGACGTAATATTATTGCCTGCAATGTGCCAGCATGGAGTTGTGTGAGAATTGTTTCTGCATGTTTTCAACTAACTTGATTGTCTTTTGCACAGAATGGTTTTACTCCACTGCACATTGCCTGCAAGAAAAACCGCATCAAAGTCATGGAACTGCTGGTGAAATATGGGGCTTCAATCCAAGCTATAACAGAGGTAGAAAAATGTTTTAGCTAGTCACAAAGCATTCCTTCTCTTACTCCTTCCTCCCTTTCCTTTTTCTCATCTTCTGTCCTCTTCACTCAAGTTTTATTTATCTGAAGAAGCCCCAAAGCCCCACCGGTGCAGAGGAGTAAAACTGCTGTTGCTTTGTTTCGCAGTCTGGCCTCACACCAATACATGTGGCTGCCTTCATGGGCCACTTGAACATTGTCCTCCTTCTGCTGCAGAACGGAGCCTCTCCAGATGTCACTAACATTGTGAGTATGGCTTGGGTCAGAATAACCCCAGGGAGGAAGAGTGAGAGGAACAGAGACTGTGGGTGTGTGTACGTGTGTTTGTGTGTATGTCATCAAAGTAAGCCACCAGGCTTTGAGAAGGGCCCTTGTAATAACATATTATTGAAATAATCACCAGAACTTCACTGAAAAGAACCTGGATAGGGTAGGAGGTAAAATGGAAGCTATGAAGTGAGACAGCTTAAGATTCTGGGTGTAGGTGGATTGAACATGCCTCTTAAATGCATTTATTAAAACAAAATACATTTTAAAAGCTCCTCTGAAAGTGAATGGATAATTGGTTGGAATAGAATTTTCAGGGCTCAACCTAGTTGCTTGAGGGAATTGTATTCCAGGCAATTTTCACAAAAACATCAAATCAGTACCATAATTAATCTTAACAAAAGATTAACCAGAGATAGATCAATATCAGAGACTTTTACTTGGTATCAAACTCTTCCTTCTTCAGTTACATGGATTTCCCATTTTGTAACATTACATTGATTTTTACTTTTGATTTGATCTGATTTGCTAGAGTGGAGGCTTCTCTTAGCTGAAAGTTATACCATGTGTCCTGGAATGAATGTTGGTCTCCAGACCACTTTCATTCAGTCAACAAGTACTGGATGTCTCAGAATTTTTCTGTGTAATCTAAATTAGAATTTCCCCTTCTAATTTCTTTGTGTATCTCTCATTTTCTTGGATTTTTCCCCTTTAAACTTTGGTCATTGTATCATGACAAATCATTGAACGCAAATTTTCTCCTGAGCGAGAGAACTTCTTTGCACAAGGTGCAGGCAGGTATTTGAAGTTCAAGAAGGGCTAGTAGAGTATTGAGATTCACGTGTGCACCAGAAATAACTCTCTCAAAATAAATATTAGTGCTTATTATTAAAATGAGCTATGTTTTCAAAAGCAATTGATTGGCACTTGTTGCTAATTTTTTGCATCTCTTTCCATTTAAGTTGTGAAAGAGAATGTCCAATTTCATTTTTTATTTGTATTCCCTCTCATATTTCTTTTTTTCTGTGTTTCACACACCGTTTCCACAGTGAAGTTTCTGATGGCTAGGAAATCCACTGTGAGAGTTAATTTAGTTGATTTTAAAAATTATTTAATACTCTCTCTTCATATTATTCAGTAATTGGAGCATAAAATCATTGAAGAATTTAAAGCCTATATTTATAAGTTTTCTTAATTATAGCTTATTGGTCCTAAGGTCATAATATTATATGCTAATCTTTATTTACTCCATTAGACATAAGAGTAATTTCACAATGTGCCAACGTAAGTTTAATTTCTATTCACTTCTTGGAACTTTAAAAGTAATCATCATCCCCCCCTTTTTTTTTTGAGATGACTACCTTTTTTTTTCTTTTTTAAATTGAGACCTGAACAGACTTACATACAGGCCAGTAACATGAAAACAAAAAACAAACAACAAAAGAAAACAAACAAACAAACACCCTCTGTGTTCTTGCCCGCCTTTTCCTTGTTTTCTCCACCTTTTCTTATTTGCATTCCAATGCCTATGGGATTAGAGGAGCAATAGTGACATTATGTTACAATATGTTGTCACATTATTATGATAACATGTACAAGAATATTCTGTGGATTGCTTGATTGCAATCACCTAAATTAACCTCTTTTAGGGGAGATTTTTACAAAATCTTCAAAGAATAATCCCTATAAAATGGTTGTGGAATTTGTGGCCACTCTTACTTTGCTTCTTCACTGAGCAATTCCAAATCTTCAGATGGTTATGGAGTTATAATATACTCCCTTCTATTAAAAAAAGTTATATAGGGTACATGTATATTTTCAAATAAAAATAAAATATTAATTGAAATAAGCAATTTTGACATGTTTTTCAGGTTGTTGAAGACTCTCAAATTTGACAATTGTTACATTAAACTTTAGCTTCCAACTGTTGGTTATTTAAAGTTCTTCATTTTATCTGTTCATTTGTCCATTATATTATCTTTCCATTCAGCTCCCTCAAAACAAATTCTTGAGGGGCATATGCCAATATAATTTCCGTGTTTTCTAGTTATGTTTTGTAAGATACATCCTTCAGGAAGCAGATACCTATTGATAGGGCTGCCCGGTAAATTATAGGACTCTCAGTTAAATTTAAATTTCAGATGAAAAATAAATTTTGTATATGACCCATGCAATAGTTGAGACATAGTAAAATAATTATTTGTTGTTTGTCTGGAATTAAAATTTAACTGGCTGTCCTATATTTTTAATTGCTAAATCTGGCAATCCTACATTTAGAGGAATTTAACTTTCTCTAACAGTGAGATGCCTGTGAAGTTGTGTTTTCTCAGAATATGAGGATATAGCTACTGGATCCAAAATTCTTTGCAAGTTGATGAAGAAACCGTGTGAACACTGACTGCCTGCTTGCTGTGTCAGAGTTGGTCACTTCCTGACCCTAAAATACCCCACCCTTGGAGCCTTTGTGTGTTGCCTGAAATCATGTTGCATTTTTGAGTGCAATGCTGTTTGTTGTGCTTCGATGCTTTTCAACTTGATGCGCCCGAAGTGGAAGTCAATGTAGCCCTGTCAGCAGAGTCAGTTTTAACAACTGAGAAGAGTGGCATGAAATTTAGTACCTGCTTTGGACATGAGCATACTCATTCTCTTGCTATTCTTGTTTTTGTCTGAGAATTCACTCCAAGTGTGAGGTGTACCAGTAACTCAATCACGTATAGACATTTTTTTTTTTAACTGAAAATCTCCTTTTCCAGAAGGTTTATTAATACACTTTGAAATCTAGAATGCGAACTGCCAATTATGACATATCCATAATCCAAAGTATTCATCAATAACTATAGGAATAGAAAACTTAAGCATTTTAACAACTATCAAGAAAGAATGCAAGGTCTTACAAAGTTTTATCTTCCTTCCCATAAGAAATCAGTGGACTAATGGTAAAGTTCACACATTATATTGTGCTTAAAAATTTTCCCCAATCCTTAAATTTCATTAGCTTGAGATAAGAAAGACAGGGCTATTAAATAAAATAGGGTGTCTGACAATCAAGAAATGGAAGTTATTTATTAAAACAATGTATCCTGACGTTCATTTTCTTATTTACTCTTATATATAAACAATGGTAATATTAAATCAAAAGACTACTAAGGGCAACTTACAGTAGAAGTCTATTATGCCAGAGGCATTAGATAAGAATTAAACAAGACCGTTATTATAAAGTGGAGAGACCATGTGTGTGTTTATACATAACCTTTGTTTGAATTTAAGCTTTAGTGCTTTAAATTAGATTCTATGTTTAACTGATCAACTTCAAGTGTGTAAAACCCATAAAAAATAACTTAAGTATAAAATAAAGTTTCAGAAATATTGGCCAGTATTGGAAACATTTCAGATTTTGAAAGCCTCTTATTGATAAAGCTTGGCTTAAAAAGTTAACACGAAGGCCAAGCGTGGTGGTGGATGCCTGTAATCCCAGCTACTTGGGAGGCTGAGGCAGGAGAATCACTTGAACCAAGGAGGCAGAGGTTGCAGTGAGCTGACATTGCACCACTGCACTCCAGCCCGGGGGACAGAGTGAGACTTTGTCTCTAAATAAATAAATAAATAATAAATATGAAAGTTTGTCATTAAGTAGGAATTCCTGGGACCTCTTTGACTTTTAACTTCTTATAAGGAAATTTATTATCTTCATTTCTACCAAAATTAGTAAAATTGCTAGCCTTTTATCAGACCTAGAAATAACATAAAGATTTGAGGAGTATTGTTTTTGTTTTTCTGAGACACAACCTTGCTCTGTCACCCAAGCTGGAGTACAGTGGGCAAGATCATGGCTCACTGCAGCCTCAACCTCCGAGGCACAGGCTATCCTCCTGCCTCAGCCTTCCGAGTAGCTAGGTCTACAGCCATGCACAACCATGCCTGACTAATTTATTTATTTATTTATTTAGAGAAGAGATCTTGCTATGTCTCCCACACTGGTCTTGAATGCTTGGCTTCAAGCAGTACTCCTGCCTTGACCTCCCAAAGTGCTGGGATTACAGGCTTGAGCCCCTGTACCTAGTCTTGTTTTGTTTTGTTTGAATACCATCAGCCCTCTGTATCAGCAGCTTCTGTATCTGTGGGTTCTAAATCCATGGATTTAATCAATCTTGGATTGAAAATATTTGAAAAAATAAAAATAAAAAATACAATAAAAAATAACAAAGTTTTAAAAAGTACTGTATAACAACTATATAGCATTTACATTTTGTTAGGTATTATAACTAATGCAGAGCTGAATTATACAGGATTATGTGCATAGGTTACATGCAAATACTACACCATTTTATATAAAGGACTTGAGCATCCACGTATTTTGGTATTGGTGGGGGAAGCAGGGGGCCTGGAACCAATCCCTCAACAGTACAGAGGGACAACTGTAGTTAGAAGATCTTAGCCTCATCTATTTAGAGACAGGTTTTAAATGATAGAGAAAACAAGTTAGAAATCATGGTTGTCCAGGGAGGAAAAATCTTGCCATACATCTAAAATCCGAAGATAAATATTAGCATTCATTTTATAAAACAAAATGCTCCAGATACATTTACTTTACAAAAGTCTAAATCTGTCATCAGAAAATAAGCCCATTAGAGGATAAATGAGTCATCAACAAAGAAGAGAAAATTAGAGTAGATATCAAATTTAGTGCTTTCACAATCAAATCATTTGACATGAATTTCTCATAACTTCAAAAGAAATGGTCTCTAAAATACTGAGAAAAAATTAACTGTGAACTATGTGCCAAATTAAAGTTCACCTTAAAGTTTCTAGATTTAAGGGTTTGTTGTACAAGGAATCAGAATAATTCACTGGAGTTTGTCATTAGCACAACCAAATTTAAAATCAATTTAGTTTATTTGGAATAGTTTACTTTACTTGGTTGAAATTAGCCTTATTTTCTAGAACAGTTGTGGTAAATCAATCTGTAATAATTTTTATTTCAATATCTTAAAATTACTTGAGTGAATGAAACCATGCCTTCTTTAGAACTACATAGTTTTAAAATATGCTGATTTTTAAAGCCCTCTCTCTTAGAGACAGTAGAGTAGTAACCGGCTTCTTGAAGAGAAAATTCTCTTACACCCTCGTTCTTCATGCCACACCTAAAGCACCCTTTCCTGACAAGTGTGTCATATTTTGGTATAGAACAAAGATACTGGAGGCGTGATGCACGGCCTACCTCAACAGATGACACTGCTGACAGTCACTTTATTCATCTTTCAGTGGCTCTCTCAAATAACTGTCTATAATTAAATATGCTCATTAATCTTAAATAGGGGACCTCCTGGGCAAATCAGATTTCTTATCTGATCCGTTTTTGTCTAGTCTCACAACACAAAGAAAAATCAGATACAAAATAATAGTTTATTTCAGAAGTAAATTTTGAATCTTGAAAAGAAGTGATTTATTTATGGTACAGGTGGTGTTAATGTTTTGCAACGTGTTGATCTTCAGCATGTAGAGTTTCTCACTGAAATAGATTCAAGCTGTGATCACATAGTTAAGTGAGACAGTGACAGATTTTAGGTTTTTAGGGTAAAAGATAATTTCATCACCAAAATCAATTTAAAGGGATGCTTGGCTGATTGTGAAGTTAAACAACTCAGAGTATCCTGGATGTTCGGGTACATTTACTAGTTTGTCACGGACTTAAAAAAATAAAATAAACATTTGTTTTTCCTTATAAAGATGGGGAAGAAAAATACAAAAATTATCTGGGTGTGGTGGTGCACGCCTGTAGTCTCAGATACTCAGGAGGTTGAGGCAAGAGAATCGCTTGAACCCGGGAGATGGAGGTTGTGGTGAGCCGAGATGGTGCCATTGTGCTCCAACCTGAGCAACAAGAGTGAAACTTTGTCTCAAAAAAAAAAAAAAAAAAAAAAAAAGAAGATACAAATCTATGTTTTCCAGACTATGCCTTTTCATAGGTTTCTTAAATCCTTGGATATATTGCTGAATTTCACAAAAGGGACAACTTTATTATTTACCATCCAGAGCAGTGGGTTAATTTATGATTTAACGATCTTTGTTCCCTGGCAGCGTGGGGAGACGGCACTACACATGGCAGCCCGAGCCGGGCAGGTGGAAGTGGTCCGATGCCTCCTGAGAAATGGTGCCCTTGTTGATGCCAGAGCCAGGGTAGGTGCTGGTGCCCTGAGGTTCTCTTCTATCTCAGCGCATGAGTTTCAACCTTAAGAGAGGGTGTTGCCCTTCAGTTCCTTGATTTGGAAATACCAGGGACTGTAAGTGAAAGGATCAATTCAATAGCAGTTTTCCAGGAAAAAAGAGAAACATTATATAAGCAATTACACGCAATGAAAAATGCACCCGGATTTCAGAAACACTAACATTTGAAAAAATGTACAACTTTCATCTAAGAAATACGGCATTGACTAATATTTTAATACTTTTTTTAACCTCGGAAAGCACTTTCTCATATCTCTTTATTTTCATGAATTTTAAAATGTAACCTATAGTATTTAGACATTATACATATTAAAATTTATTTATTACCACCTAAACCAATCACATTTCCACAGTTACCCCTCACTAGTTACATAAAAGCAAGTTATTCTCAAAGTTTTAATGTTTTCCCTTCATCTGTTTGACTTCCCTCCTTTTTATGATGTTTACTTTTCTTCCTACTCTGATTTTACAAATTTATACATTCTGTATTTCCACTATTCCAAAATAGAATTTGGGCATTGAAGATTGCTTGATCAGACTTGCCCTGTTTCTAATAGCTTCTAATTCCCTCACAAGTTGCTTTTTCCTTCTTTTTCTTTTTTAAAATCTTACTCCCCAATTTATTTTCTCATCTTCCTTTACATTGAATACACTGTCAATATACTGTATCTTGTATTTCCTTTTCCATGTTGTTATTTAACTTTTGCATTGGCATCACTGAGATTCTTACGTTAAACAATTTCCCTCCTTCTTCAATATTTGATACACCCAAGTTAGAACTCATTTCAGTTTGAGTCGTACCACTATAATACAGTGTTATATTAGAATGAAAGCATCTGGCTACGGTCATGTAAATTGTAAGTGATTTCAGGCAAGCCACTTCACTTCCAGGTCTTTTTAAAAAATTATTATTATACTTTAAGTTCTGGGATACATGTGCAGAATCAGGTTTGTTCCATGGGTATACATGTGCCATGGTGGTTTGCTGCACCCATCAACCCGTCATCTACATTAGGTATTTCTTCTAATGCTATTCCTCCCCTAGCCCCCCACCCGCTGATAGGCTCTGGTGTGTGATGTTTCCCTCCTTGTGGCCATGTGTTTTCATTGTTCAGCTGCCACTTATGAGTGAGAACATGCAGTGTTTGGTTTTCTATTCTTGTATTAGTTTGCTGAGAATGATGGTTTCCAGCTTCATCCATGTCCCTGCAAAGGACATGAACTCATTCTTTTTTTATGGCTGCATAGTATTCCATGATGTATATGTGCCACATTTTCTTTGCCCATCATTGATGGGCATTTGAGTTGGTTCCAAGTCTTTGCTATTGTGAATGGTGCTGCAATAAACATATGTGTACATGTGTCTTTATAGTAGAATGACTTATAATCCTTTACATATATACCAGTAATGGGATTGCTGGGTCAAATGGTATTTCTGTTTTTAGATCCTTGAGTAATTGCCACATTGTCTTCCACAATGGTTGAACTAATTTACACTCCCACAAACAGTGTAAAAGCTTTTCTATTTCTGCCGGGCGTGGTGGCTTATGCCTGTAATCCCAGCACTTGGGAGGCTGAGGTGGGCAGATCACCTGAGGTTGGGAGTTTGAGACCAGCCTGACCAACATGGAGAAACCCTGTCTCTACTAAAAATACAAAATTAGCTGGGCATGGTGGCATATGCCTGTAATCCCAGCTACTCGGGAGGCTGAGGCAGGAGAATCGCTTAAACCCAGGAGGTGGAGGTTGCAGTGAGCTAAGATCGTGCCATTGAACTCCAGCCTGGGCAACAAGAGTGAAGCTCCATCTCAAAAAAGAAAAAAAAAGAAAGAAAAAAAAAGCATTCCTATTTCTCCACGTCCTCTCCAGCATCTGTTGTTTCATGTTTTAAATGATCACCATTCTAACTGGTGTGAGATGGTATTTCATTGTAGTTTTATTTGCATTTCTCTAGTGGCCAGTGATGATGAGCTTTTTTTCATGTTTGTTGGCCACATAAATGTCTTCTTTTGAGAAGTGTCTGTTCATATCCTTTGCCCACTTTTCAATGGGATTGTTTGTTTTTTCTTGTAAATTTGTTTAAGTTCCTTGTAGATTCTGGATATTAGCCCTTTGTCAGATGGAGTGATTGCAAAAATTTTCTCCCTTTCTGTAGGTTGCCTGTTCACTCTGATGATAGTTTATTTTGCTGTACAGAAGCTCTTTAGTTTAATTAGATCCCATTTGTCAATTTTGGTTTTTGTTGCCCTGGCTTTTGGTGTTTTAGTCATGAAGTCTTTGCCCATGCCTATGTCCTGAATGGTAATTGCTTAGGTTTGCTTCTAGGGTTTTTATGGTTTTAGGTCTTACATTTAAGTCTTTAATCCATCTTGAGTTAATTTTTGTGTAAGGTGTAAGAGAGGGGTCCACTTTTAGTTTTCTGCATATGGCTAGCCAGTTTTTCCAACACCATTTATTAAATAGGGAATCCTTTCCCCATTGCTTGTTTTTGCGAGGTTTGTCAAAGATCAGATGGTTGTAGATGTGTGGTATTATTTTGAGGCCTCTGTTCTGTTCCATTGGTCTATATATCTGTTTTGGTACCAGTACCATGCTGTTTTGGTTACTGTAGCCTTGTAGTAGAATTTGAAGTCAGGTAGCGTGATGCCTCCAGCTTTGTTCTTTTTGCTTAGGATTGCCTTGGCCATTTGGGCTCTTTTTGGTTCCATGTGAAGTTTAAAGTAGTTTTTTTCTAATTCTGTGAAGAAAGTCAATGGTAGCTTGATGGGGATAGCATTAAATCTATAAATTTCTTTGGGCAGTATGGCCATTTTCATGGTATTAGTTCTTCTTATCCATGAGCATGGAATGTTTTTCTATTGGTTTGTGTGTTCTCTTATTTCGTTGAGCAGTGGTTTGTAGTTCTCCTTGAAGAGGTCCTTCACATCCTTTGTAAGTTGTATTCCTAGGTATTTTATTCTCTTTGTAGCAATTGTGAATGAGAGTTCACTCATGATTTGGCTCTCTGTTTGTCTATTATTGGCGTACAGGAATGCTTGTGATTTTTGCATATTCATTTTGTATCCTGAGACTTTGCTGAAGTTGCTTATCAGCTTAAGGAGACTTTGGGCTGAGATGATGGGGTTTTCTAAATATATAATCATGTCATCTGCAAGCAGAGACAATTTGACCTCCTCTCTTCTTATTTGAATACCCTTTATTTCTTTCTCTTGCCTGATTGCCGTGGCCAGAACTTCCAATACTATGTTGAATAGGAGTGGTGAGAGAAGGCATTCTTGTGCTGCTTTTCAGAGGGAGTGCTTCCAGCTTTTGCCCATTCAGTATGATATTGGCTGTGGGTTTGTCATAAATGGCTCCTATTATTTTGAGATATGTTCCATCAATACCTAGTTTATCGAGAGTTTTTAGCATAAAGGGGTGTTGAATTTCATCAAAGCCTTTTTCTGCGTCTATTGAGATTATCATGTCATTTTTGTCATTGATTCTGTTTATGTGATGGCTTACGTTTATTGATTTGTGTACATTGAACCAGCCTTGCATCCCAGGGATGAAGCTGACTTGATCATGGTGGATAAACTTTTTGATGTGCTGCTGGATTTGGTTTGTCAGTCTTTTATTGAGGATTTTTGCATTGATGTTCATCAGGGATATTGGCCTGAAATTTTCTTTTTTTGTTGTGTCTCTGCCAGGTTTTGGTATCAGGATGATGTTGGCCTCATAAAATGAGTTAGGGAGGATTCCCTCTTTTTCTATTGATTGGAATAGTTTCAGAAGGAATGGTACCAGCTCCTCTTTGTACCTCTGGTAGAATTCAGCTGTGAATCCATCTGGTCCTGGGCTTTTTTTGGTTGGTAGGCTGTTAATTACTGTCTCAATTTCAGAACTTGTTATTGGTCTATTCAGGGACTCGACTTTCTCCTGGTTTAGTCTTGGGAGGGTGTATGTGTCCAGAAATTTATCCATTGCTTCTATTTGTGTAGAGGTGTTTATAGTATTCTCTGATGGTAGTTTGTATTTCTGTGGAATCAGTGGTGATATCCCCTCTATCATATTTGATTGTGTCTATTTTCTTCTTTCTTTTTTTCCTTATTAGTCTGGCTAGTGGTCTATGTATTTTGTTAATCTTTTTAGAAAAACCAGCTCCTGGATTCATTGATTTTTTTTGAAGGGTTTTTCCTGTCTCTATCTCCTTCAGTTATGTTCTGATCTTATTCTTGTCTTGTCTTATTTCTTGTCTTCTGCTAGCTTTTGAATTTGTTTGCTCTTGATTCTCTAATTCTTTTAATTGTGATGTTAGGTTGTCAATTTTAGATCTTTCCCGCTTTCTCCTGTGGGCATTTAGTGCTATAGATTTTTCTCTAAACACTGCTTTGGCTGTGTCCCAGAGATTCTGGTACATTGTGTCTTTGTTCTCACTGGTTTCAAAGAACTTATTTATTTCCGCCTTCATTTAGTTATTTACTCAATAGTCATTCAGGAGCAGGTTGTTCAGTTTCCATGTAGTTGTGTGGTTTTGAGTGAGTTTCTTACTCCTGAGTTCTAATTTGATTGTACTGTGGTCAGGGAGACTGTTTGTTATGATTTCTGTTCTTTTGCATTTGCTGAGGAGTGCTGTACTTCCATTTATGTGGTCAATTTTAGAATAAGTGCGGTATAGTACTGAGAAGCATGTATATTCTGTTGATGTGGGATGGAGAGTTCTGTTGATGTAGAATGGAGAGTTAGGTTGGCTTGATCCAGAGCTGAGTTCAAGTCCTGAATATCCTTGTTAATTTTCTGTCCCATTGATTTGTCTAATATTGACAGCAGAGCGTTAAAATCTCCCACTAGTATTGTGTGGACGTCTAAGTCTCTTTGTAGGTCTCTAAGAACTTGCTTTATGAATCTGGGTGCTCCTGTATTGGGTGCATATATATTTAGGATAGTTAGCTCTTCTTGTTGCATTGATCCAT